TAGCTGCACCAAGCTAAAGCTAAGCACATCGATTCGTTGCTTTCGTACTATATTCTGAAAAGGGATAAGGCTGTCTCTTATACACATCTACAACAACAACTCGTAAAACAAACAAAAGAACATCAGAAAAACAAAAAAGTTCATTGTATAACTATATTTATTTACTCTCTTTTCTTTGTGAGGAGATGAGGAAATGGAAGGGGGGATAGGATTGCTTTATTTATTTTTTTTTTTGTAGGAGGGGGAAAGAAAGGGGTGAGGCATTTGGCCTAAAGTACCCGTTTCAAACTGAACGTCGCCTCTTCGAAGATCGTTTTTTTCAGATTGGCAATTGCCAAGTTAAACTCGCATGAAATGTCCATTTTCAATTGTTCGTGCATCTCTTTCTGTCGTTGTTCTTTTTCGTTCCACTTTAGTTCGGCTTTCTCAAATTCAATTCTCAATTCGGTTATCTGATTTTTTAATTGTTCGACTGTTTCGTCGGCAGCTTTCAAACGAATTCTAGCCTCGGCTAGTTCCGAGATCAAATCGGCCAAAGCTCCGTTAGATACCACCTCCTCTGCCAATCGATGGTATTCGGACGTTCGACCTCTCGTCACCGGTCGTCCTTCCAGTCTCTGCACTTCCTTCTGCAACGTCGATCGTTTCAAAGAGGGCATGGAAGCAACATAAGGTTACCATCGTCAGAAGAGCGACCAAAGAGGAATTCGTGTGTTGGAAGCACAATGTATCAATCGCATTAGGCCCCCTATAAACCGTATTTATCCTGATGATAAACGTTTAGAAATGCTCGGACACACAGCCAGGCCTATTTCTATGTGTTTTAATGTTGACTTCTTACAAACATTTCATTCATATTCAACATTAATAAAGGCATAGCAAGCAGGTATAAACACTAATTTTACGATATTGTATACACGTGACTACCAAGTTCAGATATTTTGGCCTAGTGACTCTAGCGTTCGTCATCAACGCATAAAACTTGATACACCACTGACCCTGTTTCGCGAGGGAGAGTCTGTATGCATATTCATGCATATTAGTTCTTCTAACTGACCTAAAATAGAACCCTCTATAATATTTGCCGCAATGTATGGGGAAAAAATGCTACCCAGACAGTGAATAGTATAGGTCCAGAATAAGCTAAATTTATTTCATGCAAATCTCATAAAAGAAGTACCACGAGAGACCAGATGTTAGTGCCGCTGTAGTTGAAGACAAACCCAAGACTCCTGATTGTGTCCTAAATGCGGCAGGTACAGCAGTAATAGAATGTGATTATAGAAATGATGTTGCAAATAAGTATCATATGTCAAATGAGAATCTTTTACAGCTTCATTCTTAAGTTGTTAGCTAAAGAAACCTCAGCTGATATTCACGTTGATGAGGGTCTAGATGAGTCGTATAAAACGTGAAACGACTGATAGGAATCTAACAGGATATACTGAAAGATCTACCAGGGAAAACTGTACTAGGTCAACATGAAATCAAGTTAACGACCGATGTGCCTGTCCGAACTAAACCTTATCCATTACTGCATGCACTTCGAAGTACAGTGAAGGAGGAGAGTATGATGTTAAATATGGGTGTAGTTGAACCATCTTGTGCTCCATTTGCTTCTCCGATACTACTGGTTAAGAAATTGGATGGGTCTAAGGTTTTGTGTGGATTTCTTGAAAGTAAACTTGGTTATGATGTTTGACGCCGAACCAAAACCACACCAAGTTGAGTTATTTACTAAATTGGCTCAGGACCTTTACTTCACGAAGATAGACCTGAGTAAAGGGTATTGGGAAGTGCCGATGGAGAAATCATCAAAACTTCTGACATCTTTTATAACTCCTGATGGTTTATACCTATTCAAGGTTATGCCATTCGGCTTGGTAAATGCTCCAGCTACTTTCAGCAGAATCATGAGGAAATTACTTCAGGGAATGGATAACGTATTAAATTACGTTGATGATATTTTGATTCAGACAGTTACTTGGGAACAAAACATGAAGGCTTTGAAAGAGTTGTTCCGACGGCTACGTAAAGCAAATTTGACGGCTCGCCCAAGTAAATGCTTCATTAGCTATGAAACAATTGATTTTTTTGGGTATGTTGTGGGGAAAGGTAGTGTTCAAATCGAGACCTGAGAAGATTCAGAGCATTGTGTCGGCAAAGAAACCAGAAACAAAGAAAAACTAAGGGCGTTCCTAGGTATGACAAATTACTATAGGAAGTTTATTCCAAATTACTCTGTTATTGCTTGGCCATTTAACGGAAAAAACTAAAAAAGGGGAACCAAACCGAATTTCTTGGGAAAGTAGTCAAGGAAATGCATTCATTACTCTCAAGACAAAATTAACTAGCAACCCGATTCTTTGTCTTCCTAATAGTTCGATACAGAAATCAGTCCTTGTTTGATAATATACATAGGCCTAGCTAAATGAAACTCTTTACTATGTGGAACCATACGCCTATTTATCGATGACAGTACTAAGTCAAACAATATAGTACTTTTTGATGCAATGCAATTTGCCAGTACTGAACATCGTTCTCGTTTCACCGCTCATCGCGGGTGATCTGCAATGCCAGTCTTGAAAAATGACGTCAGGCACATTCTGGCACTTCATTGGGTGATGGTGACGTAATGCCATTTACCTACCTTTATCAAATTGAAGTAGAAATACAATACCGTATCTCTAGCCATGGCGTAAAATTAAACCAGTTTTTATACAATATTTATAATTTTTATGCCAAATAAAAACAGCCCCTCCCTCATCGATAAAAAAAAAAGTTAATTATGGTGGAGGTACATGATGGGTCATTTACCCTGAATTTACCTTGAAAACCAGGACTAGAGAACTCATATGCAAGAGTTTTTGACAAGTGATTGTGGTCAGACCAAAATTTAGCAATGCCCGATATAAATTCATTGACTGTTTTAGATTCAACTACATGATTTGGTAATTGATTTCAATCGTTGACTACTCTAGGCCTAACTGGATATGAAGATTTTCTAACATTTAGTTTAGATTTAGGCTTAGAGACCTTGAATTTGTGTCGTCTAGTTTGGCATTTTAAATAGCTTATCAATATTAACCCTATCTATATTTCTATGCATTTTACTAGAAGACTGAATAAATATAGGCTTAGGCCTACCTCAACAATGTAGGCTTAGGCCTACCTCAAAAATGTAGGCTAGGCCTACTGTACCTACAGTATTCATTATGCTATAAAATAAGAACTCAAAAAAATATAAGGCCCATAAAAAATCCTGTCACTCCCCCACCCGTCCCTAGGTAATTTGTTAATAACTTCATAGACTTGTTAATAACTTCTTAGGCTATACAAATTATTATTTTATTATTAGGCACCAAGGTAAACATTTTTCTTCTGCACCACACTAAAGTATGGCCTGCGCAGTCATTCTCCTCGCAAAATATGGAGCCAATTTCCGCGCAGATTTTGCTGATAATTAGGCTATGTATGACCTTGCCTAAACCTAATATATAACTAATGTATTATATAATTCTGCCCACATTTTCCTAGCGATTTTCCACGCAAATTTGAGCTATGCGTCTAGCATAGTTTTTGATGTACCATCCACACATAAAATATTTTAGAGTATACATTCTGCTTTAGTCCAGACTTTTTTATATACCTTGTTTAGCAAACTTATTTTTGAAAGATCGTCAGAGGTGGGCGAAAAATAAATAAATAAATAAAAAAAATTGTTGTCTTATTTAGCAAATTTTTGCAAAAAACATCCAGATGGAGGAGAAAATAGAAATAAAGTTTTATTGGTGAATGTAAACAGTGTAATGGGATGGTTAAATACTTTAAGAAATATACATATCTTATTTTTGAGATTTCAAGGCTTCGGCGGGCGTAATAAAATATAGAAAAACGGGTTTTTTTCTCATAAATATACATATCTTATTTTTGAGATTTCAAGGCTTCGGCGGGCGTAATAAAATATAGAAAAACGGGGTTTTTTTCTCTAAAATTTCCATTTTTCGTGGCGGCGGGTGCGCCAATTGGCTGAAAATAAAATTTTCTTTTTATTCAAAATCACCATTATTGGCAGGCGGCGGGTTCACTAAACAAGGTATAAAAAAGTCCCGCCCTATGTGCTCTAGTCATTATTGTAACTTTTATTATATTTAACACAGAATCAGAAGAGGAACTCGAGAATAGAATTGAAAAAGGGAGGATAAAGATAAGCAAAGTACTCGATACCAGTGTTGAAAGTTCGTCTGATGAAGATATCTCATTGTCTCAAATTGCCAAGCAAAGGGTACGCATTACAATATTTTTTCACTACTTTCAATTTCAACAACCTCCACTGTCAACACGCCTAAAATTAATTAGGATGAGGAACCATGATTTTGGGTTGAATTAACAATTTTAGTAATGTTTTAGTGCACAACTAGGAACATAGAACGTTTTCTAATGATAATTGGCAATGTCTTATTTCACAGAAGGAAAGAAAACAGGACATTTCTATGTCAAAAGAGAATCTGCTGAAGCTAATAATAGAAGAAAAAAGACGACAGAAATCTCCACCATTTCCAAGTACAGCTCCCAAGAGGTGTGATGAGCTAAAGGAGCTCAAGAGAAAAAATGATGTTTTCCAACTGAAGTTGGATGAGTACCAATGCCTAAATAAGAAACTTCAAAAGTTGTTGCATGTAAAGCTAGACAAAGGTATGTTCACAGTAGCATACATTACCACTTCTGATTTACTGACCATTACTTGCCCATTCTTGATTACTACTGAAATTTTCTTAAAAAGTAAACAATCATTGCACAATAATTCATACAGTTGAACTTGCCTAAAGTTGAATCAGAAATAGCATTGAAAAATTATTCGACATGGATAAAATCTGACTTACAGATGGTTAATAAGTGAAAACACAACAATTTGATATGTAAAATAAGATCGACTTAGGCAAATTAGACTTAGGCAAGTTTAATGTCAGGCTCTGGAGGAAAAACAAATTTGATATGTTGTAGAACTGATTTTTCTAAGACACAAAACAGTTGTTTGACAAAAAACTGGGGAATGGTGAATGAGATACAGATTTTTGAATATTTAAAAACTGGGGGAAAAGGGGTGTAACCACCTATTTTTACACCTTTTTATTTCCTCTGGAGTCTGACTTAATTTAATTTTAATTTATGGGGACAGTATGATTTTTCTAAAAAAAATCATTGTAATCTTCCAGTAACTTTTAAGTCAACTACAACAAAGATATGTAGAATTGAAAATTTTAACACTCAAACATCTATTTAGATGTGTATAAGTACCCAAAGCTTGGTATTGCAGTTTGTACCACTAGATTGTAGAGCTTTCATAGTTTGTTTTATAATTAATTTGTCATTCATATTACAACTTCAACCAAGGCTACCAAAACACCATTATCACCAGCAGCAGCATCAAACTCAGCACCAACATTTGAGTCAGTAGCAGCAACAACATCAGCTGCATCAGTGGCTGAACCTGATGAAGAACCTCAGTTGTATTGCAAGTCAGGCGATAAGGTAATTGTTAATTCAATGTCATTGTTTTGCATTTCATTATAATTACTGTAATAATAAACATCATCATTTCTATTTAGTGTCAGTTTATCCCTTTTCCAGGGTTTGATTCTGACATTTGCTGTGAGTGAGAAAAGTCATCAAGCAGGTCACACCCACCTTGCAGCAGAAAATGACACTCAGATCAGTTGTCGCATTCTTAGAAAATTATTCTAAAAGAATGTTTCCTCTTGCAGATTTTATTGCATCCTGAAAAGTGGGCCAGTTAACCTAGCGATAGTGCTAACTGGACCAGGGGCCATTTGTGCAACAAATTTTAGAACATTTTGGTTACATTTGTGTGTGATTTGTTTGCTCATTTCAGATTCACCTTGGCAGTGGCATATTTATCCCTACTTTCAAGTGGGAAATGTTACAGCTCCAGAAAAAAAAACTCAATTTTTGTGAAAAATCTGGCAGTTTCTGTATGGGGTTGTGAGGCCTTGAAAACTAGATATGTTGACGGCAACGGCCATGTTATCCTGAATCTACTCCAAAACCACCATTAACACCATTAAAGGTGCAAACTGTTAAAAGTAAGCATTTTAGTTGATTGTTGACAACAGGCTACCTGTGACCGATTAGTGGCCAAAGTTTGACACTTTTTGCATGATTAAAGGGTCCATTTTGAATTTGTAGTACAGTATATAAGAAGAAACTAACTGTTGATCACAAACAATATTTTATTATGGCTTTCCTAATCTCTCTTAGTAGCTTAGAGCAAGCTTTGTGCTTGAAAAAAATAAGGGAAATCAAAATTGTTTTTATCGCAAGCAAGTGGTTATCTGTCTCTTGTTTACTTGTTTGAAATGCACAAAAATATTTGTAATTTTGCTGGATGAATGTTATTGTACAGTAGCACCTTTTTTTAAAATTATATATAAGCATACATGCAGATAAAAAAATACCTTTTTGGAAAATATTCTGAGCCGATCCATAACTTTCTTTTTTCTTTCTTGCTTTTCTTTTGTTTGTTTTATATTGTCGACTAAAAAGCTTTTTTAAATCATTTAGTTTATAATTTAAATTTTAAAAATATAGTAATGTTTAAACATTTTTTTAAACTATTTTCAAATTTTTCTCTCAATCTAAAGTCAAATTTTAGTTTGACCTGGACCATGCTAGAGTTTCATATGTTGACTGTCTTCATTTAGGACTTTTATGAATGTATAATTTGATTGGAAGCAATATATCCAAAAACAATACTGTTTAATTATAACATGTTATATTTTCATTGCAGATTTATTTTTTGGGCTCAGTACGGACTCAAAAAGTATGCATTTTCTTTTAGTTTTATAGCGTATAAGTCCGCAATGACGATATAACAAAAATGAGAGGAACTATTATAATGATTTTAAAAATGCATGATTCACTTCACGCTAATTAAAAAACTTTTTGATTTTCATTTTTAGGGTGTTATGTAGACCGACTGAAGACCATGCAATTAAGTACTGAAGAATTCAAATCTGAAGAACGAAAGTTCAAGAAGTACCTTACTGAAAAGATAATGGATTTGAATAGAAAGAAGTAATAGAACAAAACCTTGATATACACCGCACTTTTCACTTTAATGGCAACTGACCCAACCTGATGTTTGTATTACAGTATTTTGAAGCGATTGACGTCAAGTCACTTATGTTACACAATTAAAGTTTTTAATTAAAATGCGTATGTTTAAAATGTTGGTTGCAAATTATTTATTTCTGTATAGCTTGTCCAAATAAGTTCAGTATAAATAATGAGAAGTTTCCAGTGCATACAGCAAAAAGCGATTAAAAATACTACAGGGTAGTTTTCTACAAGCATTATTTATACAAACTGTAAATTCCACTTAAAATTATTTGCAGTGAAAAAATGGTTCTAAAGTACTGTAAACCAAAAACACCTAGCTCCACTGGGTTAGCTACTATAAATTTTTAAATAATAATAATAATATCACGAATTTATATGGCACCAATCCCAAACAAGATCAAAGGCACAACGCATGTGAACAGCCACCGGAAAAAAAAAGAATTAGGTCTTAAGCTGTGAATTAAAGTTGCAAATAGAGTTGGAAGAAATCTGGGTTACATTGTAGCTTCAATTGGTTTTTTGAAAACCATTTACATCTGGGCTTTAAAATACACGGTTCAGTTAAAACCTAGTTTATTTGTAACTTTAACTTGTTTTTTGGAAAACCAGTTACCACCTAGGTTTTAAAAACTCAGTTCAACTGGGTTTTGCCAAGTGGGTTTCGAAAAACCAGATCAACTGGGTTGAACTAGAAAGCCCAGTTACCAACTGGCCAACTAGGTTTTAAAACCCAGTTAAAACCAGATGGAAGTGTCCAATTTTCGTGACGGAAAATTACCAGTTCAACCGAGTTAAACCTAGTTCAACTGGGATTAACTGGAATTTAGACCTGGGTACCATTTTTTAGCTAGCCTAGGCTAAGCCTAGCGTGTAGAAAAAAGGCAGGCTTCCTACGCCAGGCCTACTAGCCCACGTCTAACTCTACGTACGACGAGTAAAGACTTGACAACTAACTGGCATGCAGATCTCACTTCCAAAATCCATTTTTTCGAATTATAAATAATCCAGTAATTCTTGGGAGTGTGCATTGTTTTTGAAGTTAGTTTTGTACAAATTCTTTAACAGTAGAACATTTATCTAGGGCCTATAGGCTTAGGCCTAGGTCAGGAAAAGCTAAGTTCCTTTTTCAGAAAGTCCCTCTGCAGTGTAGTGTTAAATTATGAATTCTATCAAAAGTATGCTGCTGCATTCGCGTAATATTAAATTAATACATTTTTATAACATATTTGACAGCTGATTCATGTA